AGCACACGTTGAACCCGAGCTCATCCTCGAACAGGTAAAGCCACTTATTACAGCACAAAGTGACTCACTTTGTTGTTAGCAACGACGGAACACTGGGTCTCGCTTTGAGTAACCGGAAGTATAAAACCGGACAACGGAAGTAGTGGTCTGTCATGGCAGCCTACGTACGCTCTTACAGAAACCTGTGGATATCTGAGTTCAGGATGGCTGCAGGGTCACAGTGGGCTTATTGGGAACTGTTCACAGAAAAATATCCAGTTAGGAGTATTAAATTCAGTTCTTTGTATTCTTTAACGGCCAAGAAAGACACGGCTCAAAGTGGTCTAACTCAAAAAATTAACTTTAATTTTACATATTCCAGAATATGGAGACTGAGCAGACACACAAACACGCCAGCCCAAGTCTGAGGCATCAGACTTGTATCTGTTTTTTTTTTTTTTTTAAAGTAAGTGAGTAATAAGTAACTAATTACTTTTGAAAATGAGTAATCAGTAATGTAACGTGATTCCTTTTTTGAGAAGTAATTAGTAACAAGTAACTAATTACTTAACCAACACTGTCTGAGACCTGCTGTAAAACTGGGGTGTGGGCTTCCACTGTATACCTGTGTTTTTTTGGTTTATGTTTTTGCTTTTTAGATAAAGTGACAGCAGCTTCTCCCTCCCCCCGTCCCTCACTCAGTCGCTTAGTGTCTGAGCTTGGATCATACCAATATTAGGGGGGATTTACGCACAGTGTGCACTATGTGCTTCGAATATTGTGTGTAGTTTTTGTTTTATACAGTTGTCAGCCAGGCATCTAACTAGGAAAAAATTACACTCCAAAAGACCTCGGGCTTCTGAAAAAACAACCCGGGCTTAAGCCCAGTAAGCCACCCCCCACTCAGCCACTGATCCAGCCCTGCTGCACTCTGATCCTCAGCTGATCTCAAACACTTTGACTTTACATCAATAATAAAAAGAGAAGCTGCATTTAATACAGATAAGACCAGAGTGTTTCTTCTGACTGTGGCCTCTCTGTGCTTCCTTTCCTTTTATAGAAACCTCAAACAGCTCCTGTAGCTTTGACCACAGCAGTTGTGTGACATGTTCACATTTCCTGTCCACTGCAAACATGCAGGCTTGCTTCTTGTGTTTTCTTCTTACCTTCTGTTGTTTCAGGTCAGGTGACATATTTTACCAGCTCATAATTATGTTTTATTCTCAGAGACCTTTATGTGATGTGTGCAGTGTGCTGTGGATCATCATAATGTTGGAATATTTTATCTTGAGTCATCTTATCAGCAATGTTTGTGGACATCTACATACATTTATTGTGCCATACATGAATGCTGTCTTCCCAAAATGTATTGTTCTCACTTTCTGGCCACCACACTCACTCACTCTCCAGGATTATGTACAGACAATGATCTCAAACTATTTATTTTGGTTTCATTTGCTCCCAATATCATATGAAATATCACTCATTTAAAGGTGCCAGTGTTCACATTTTGAAGTGACAAGACCAATAGTTTGAAAGAGGAGTGAAAGAGGCCATCTATGTCCACTGTGAATGACCATCATTGACCAGAAGTGGTGGATTATGGCATGTGTTGACTTCAAAGAAAACAAACGTTAGACTTCAGGCTGAAACCACAGGCTGCATTTTCTCTTTTCTTCAAGGACCAGCCACAGATTTTGTGATCTTCGATTTTCAGCTGATAAAAATACACCAACAACAGTCTTTTAGACACATGCAGTCATCACAGTCTGCTCAGAAAAACAAGGGTGTGTGTGTGTGTTTAATTAAAAAAAAATTAAATGCCTTTAATTATTTTTTAATTAGAAGAATTAAAGGGTGACCTGAACCAGGTTGAGCCATCTGTCAATTAATATTATTCTGAAACATCATCATTCACCTTTTTGTTGTGTGTGTGAGAGCTTGCCTTGTAATCG